GCGATATTGAAGTATTGATGGAAATCGCGACTTTTGATTAAATAGCATCAATGAGGCAGGCGAGCTAGGGTGCCCGAATTAAACATACGTATGCGCTTTCGTCTGTACTGTAGATTTCAGTGCCGCAACAATAAGCGTGAGGCAAGAGAGAAACATCTTTTTAGTAGCTCACCATGCTACGCAGGATATCCTCAGGTATGCCAGCTGTTATGCCAATATGCAATGGCGACAGGGCCTCCAAATCGTTTACGGGGACGTTCATGTCCACACCAATTTGTATCAGGAAGAAGATGGCCTGTCGATTTACAGCCGCAACGGACGAGTGGAGAACATTTCGTCCAGCATTGTCACACTATTCAAATAACAAGAAGGATAGGAAAAAAAATTTCGGCAAACGTAAAAATTTCAAAATGATTTACATTAAACGCTAAAACCTGCATCTTGGTCCTTACGAGTCAGGAGGCTAAAATACGCCCTGCTAAATGCAGATTGCAGGTTCTGTAGCAGTTCATTAAATTTAAACACGGAATCTATATGTGCATTCACGGTTACCACACGAGCGAACACACCCACTTTGCGTAGTCATACACCTAAACTATGTCCCAGCAAAACAAGGATCAATACACGTAAATTTTTCTTCAGCGGGGAACGCCCCTCCCGAAGAGGTTGTCCTCTTCACCTAGGTGACAACATTTAAGACCAAACTGGATATGCACCAAACATTTTTTTCACCAGTGTCAGTCTCACTCGCGAGACAGACTATTATGCATATTTAATATACTACTCGTGCTGAGTGAGTAGCTATGTTTTGTTACTATTTCGACTCTGCAATCTTTCCGCTCTTTGCTTGCAAGCATGTAATTGAAGTATGTGTTTCTTCATTTCTCCTTCTTATCCACGCATTTTTTATCCACCTTGCTACCAATAGGGAGATCAGAGGCATTCGCCTATCTTTCCCTTAATAAACTGATACTTATACTGTTGTGGACAGAAAAAAATACTTGCTTTGGGAACAGCAAAGATTACTACACTCAGTTATTTTCGCAATACAAAGCCAACGACAGACAAGGTAGGCAACAAGAGGTGATTCAGGGGAGACGTATAATCGGAAGACCCATTATGTTCAATGATAAGTGGCGTATAATTTGAGTCATTATCTTTCCCTGCCCGAGGGTTAATGCGGTTATATAACGACGGAAAATAGGCCAAAAATAATTAATCCAATTCCCCATATTTTCCATGGCTTGCCTAGGCGTTACATCTAAATTTTATTGATAAATCAATCTTCTTAATGGCCGATCGATCATCTACTCATAAAGCAGGTGGCGTCAACCTATCTTCTCGTCTTGACATAATAAAAATTGCAAGACATGTCTAACAGATACCAAAGGAGAAAACAGGATTCATCATTTACCAATGAACAATCATATAACTATGTCATATAAATATGTCAAATAGTTTCAGAATGGACTAACCTCCAGAGAGAGGGAGGGGTCTTTCTGTTGAAGCGATCGAGCAGCTGTCAAATGCTGATTATCCATAGCCACACGAAATGCTGTGAATCCGCGATTGT